CAGAGAAGCCCATAAAATCAATGAAGAGAGAAAGAAAAAGTGAGCAAGATCCCTTGTGGTTTACAAAGAAAACAAGGACCAAATAAAAGGCTTAGAATTCCTGGTTTGGCCGGACAGTGGTGGGCGCACACCTTTAATTCCAGCACTTGGGAGGCAGAGGCAGGTGGATTTCTTGAGTTCGAGGCCAGCCTGGTCTACAGAGTGAGTTCCAGGACAGCCCGGGCTATAGAGAGAAACCCTATCTAAAAAAAAAAAAAAAAAAAAAAAAAGAATTCCTGGTTTGAACAGTTACAGAGGGATCTGGAGCATAGGGGTCACCATCCAGTACCTGGCCTTGGAGTGATGAGGGTAAGGGATGGTGATTCAGATTTCTGAATATTGCCTCTGGTTAGTTGGCTAAGTGGGAAGGCATATTTTCATTTAACGCTATGGACTTAGTGATCCCTTTAGTGTCAATAAAGTATGAAGATCAAATATGTAGCATCAAATATGTAGAATAGAAAACCCTGCTTTTTACTAGACAGAAACTCAGAGTCAGCGCCTGCCTGTCTTTCCATGGTGGCTGTGGGTCTTTCCTCCCACCATGGTCCCTTGGTACTCTCCTTGTTTCAGGGGATTCCCCAGTGTGCTGGCTGATTTTATGTCAACTTGACACACAAGTTCGAGTCATCAGAGAAGAAGAAGCCTCAGTTGAGGAAATACCTCCATGAAATTCAATTATAAGGCATTTCCTCAATTAATGATAATGTAGGAGGGCCCAGCCTATAGTAGGTAGAGCCATCCCTAGACTAATGGTCCTGGGTTCTATAAGAAAGCAGGCTGAGCAAGCCATAAGGAACAACTCAGTAAGCAGCACCCCTCCATGGCCTCTGCATCAGCTCCAGGTTCCTGCCCTGCTTGAGTTCCTGTCCTGACTTCCCCAAAGATGGACTTTGTGATCTGGAAGTGTAAGCCAAATAAACCCTTTCCTCCCCAACTTGCTTGGCAATCAGGATGTTTTGTCACAGTAATAGAACCCTGGCTAAGATATCCAAATCACATCTGAAGATTCAAATCTAGGATCCACAAATAAGTAAAAGCATGTGACATTTATCTTGATGGGTCTGGGATACTTCACCCAGCATCACACATTGTTTCCATCCATTTGCATGCAGATTTCTTTATTTTATTTTGCTTTACGGTTGAATAGAATACTGCTATGTATATGTACTACACTCTTGTTATTCCTTTATCACATGGAGGGCAGACAGGTTGTTTCCTAGCTATTGTAAATAGAGTAAAAATTATCTATGAAAAGATATTGATTCTTTTGGACATATAGCAAGGAATGTTATAGCCAGGTCCTATGGTAGATCTCCTTAAAAGATAAGATTCTCTTTGAGAATTCTTCACACTGATTTCCATAATGGCTCCACAAGTTTGTAGTCCCAACAGTAATGAGGGTGAGTTCTCCTTTCTCTACATGCTTACCAACATTTGTTTTCAAGATCTGGGTTATACTGACAGGGATAAAAATCTCAAATTTGCATATCCCTAATTCTAAGGATGTAAAACACTGTTTATGGTATTTCTTAACCATTTTAGTTTCTTCTTTTGAGAACTCTGTTTGCATCTGTTACCCATTTCTAAGTTGGGTTATTTATTTTCATGACTCTTCATTTTTTTGAGTTCTTTGAATGCTATGTACATACATCTAGCAAGGACTCTCTTCCATGCTATGGGCTGCCTTTTCACCCCTGTTTCCTTTGCGACACAGAAGCTTACTGGCTTGAGGAGGTCCTTTTGTCTACTATTGGCCTTAATTCCTAAGCTAATGGAGGCCTACGCAAACAGTCCTTTCTATAATTCTATCATGTAGGGTACAGTTGTTGTTTTCTTCTCAGTTTCACTGACTCTGGTTTCACATTGAGGTCTTCGATCCATTTGAAGTTGATTTTTGTGCAGGGTGATAGGTCTGGGTCTGGTTTCATTCTTCTATATAGACATCTACTTTTTCCATCACCCTTTGTTGAAGATAATTGCCTTTTTTCACTGAGTTTCTGACATTTTTGTGAAATGATATGAATAATCAGTTTTGAGTCTTCTATGTTGTTCAGTTAGTCTGTATGTCAGTACTGTATTCTTTTTATTACTATAGCTGTAATATATCTTGAAATCTGGAATGGTAGTCCCTCCTTTTGGCTCAGGATTGTTTCAGCTATATGGAGTCTTTTGTGATTCCATATGAACTTTAGAATTTATTTTCTATTTCCATGAAGAATGATGTGGGGAATCTGTGAATGCTTTTTGGGAGAATTCTCATTTTCAAAATTCTACCAATCCACAAGCAGAAGAGGCCTTCCTATTTCCTAGGTTTTTTTCTCAATCTCTTTCTTCAGAGATTAAAGGTGTGTATGTGTGTGTGTGTCTGTGTGTGTTCTTTCATCTTTCTTATTAGATTTATTCCTAGATTTTGTTTGAAGCTATTGTGAACGGCAGTGTGTTCTTGCTCTCTTTCTCAGTAGAAGAGGCTATGAATGATACCATGGTTCTGCCCAGAAACCAGACAAGGGCTCTGAATGTTTTCTTTAGAAGGTTATTTCCATATCAAAGACTATTCCAATTCCACTAGTACCCAAAAAACAATAGTTAGCAAGTCTGGCCTTTCTTTGGAACCTAATAGCTCATTCTAGGTTCAAGAGCCACCTTCAGAATCCTGTACACTGACAAACACAGAAATCTAAAATTTTTATTCTCAGTTTACTAAATAGAGAAAGCAACTCCAGATTCCTTACTGAGTATGTAATAAGGTATGTGTACAATGTAAAGTGTATTGTATTATGTCTTTAAACATTATACTGACTAGTTATTTTATTGAAACAAGTCCCTGTACTTCATAACACTTTGGATTCCATCAGTGTTGCAGCTTATACTTCCTAGTGATTATTAACATAAGCCCTCCTCCTTAGTGTAGAAGAGGAGTTGCTACTACACACATCACACTCTCATTCACACTTCTGGCTGGAGTTTGAAGAACAGTATCCTCAGGGGCAGTGCGTAACCTGTGGGTCTGTGACTAACACTTTAGAGAATATGCTGTCTTTTCTTCTAACTTCCAAAGATTCACTAGTATAGAATGTAGAAAGATAACTGAGGAACAAATAGAGTGGTTCTTGGGTTTTTAAATAAGCTTTTTAATACTATTTCATTCACATAAATAGTGTATTTCATCACATTCAGTCCCTATTACCCTCTCTTAGCTGTTCCTATTAAGTTGAATCCCCCCTTCCTGGGCATTTTCTCTCTCTCTCTCTCTCTCTCTCTCTCTCTCTCTCTCTCTCTCTCTCCCCCTCCCTCCC